TAAGTCACTTTCATTTTATAATATACTACTGTTCTGACAGTCAGAACTTGATAATAGATACTCTCTTATAATAAGAGTAAGATATGTCATTCAATGTAACAGATACTCACTGAATGAATTGAGAGTATCAGCTCTTAAATCTGAAGATACTAGTTAATTAAGATGAAACAGCTCATGATACTATACATACTTCTCTGATTAGAACTGTTACTGATATCTTAACTTCTTCTGAATCTATATTAGATAAGCTATGACATACAGTAGCTCAAACTGATAAACTTCTTCAAGCACTCACTGAAGCAGTACAATAAGAAGTATTCTGATTTCTCTCAGAATTATATATAAGAATTAACATCTCAGAATATTCAATTGATGATAATAACACTCTACAATTTCATAAATAATACTGAGTCTCTCACTCTGAACCCTTACACATCTGGATAATACAAGAGATATATGATTTGTATATAACTGATTATTCAGATCATGAATAACTGTATAGAATAATCTCTCAAGAGTTCTATTAATCTGAGATATTAAATAGCATCAGATACTTTATCTGAAACTGTAATCACTGTTCTTCTATTATCTTATAAAAGAACTGTAGAAAAGATCTACTGAAATTACTTAATATTTCTGATAGAATCTGATAAGATGTAATAATTAACTTCACTATTAATCTATCTGAGAGCAAGAGTTATAGAAACATTCTAATTATCATTGACTAACTAAGTAAAGATATAATATTGAAATCTTATAATAAGATGAATACTGAATAAGTCACTGAAGCCTTCTTACAGAGTTTATTCTATCAGATATATGAGTTACTAAGATTAATAGTATTAGATCAGAGTCATCAATTCATAAACACTCTCTAAAAAAGAATCTGTCAAGTTCTCAAGATTACATATTATCTGTTAACTATTTATCATATCAAGACTGATGATGCATCAGAACAGATAATTCAGATTATAAAGAACTATCTTTATAAGTTCTATAATCACTTATAAGATGATTGATATAATCTGCTTCTACATACAGAGATCACTATCAATGAATGAGATGCTGTTTCAATAGATATAAGCCTGTTCTTTCTTATACATAGTTATTATATGAAGATATTGAATCTTCTAGAGATCACACAGTTCACACTGAATCTCTGCAGTTCAATTCAGATTATTAACAATATAGTAACAAAGCTCTGAGATATCTGTGATTGAGCAGAGATCTCTATGACAACTGTGAAATAAGATTAAGAGAATTAAATTAATGTTTATCAAGATCTCACTGAATAATATAAAATAGAAGATCTGATATGATTGAATCTTAAGAATATACAAATCACATATTCATCTCATATACTAGATTATCATCATATTAGATATAAAGTAATAGAAGTTCTAGATAGTTATAACTACTGTCTTAACACATCATCAGAGATTGACAATGTATTTCATACAAGCTTGCTTCACTGTGCTATCACTGATCTGTTCTCTTCTCAACTGACTTCTGACTGACAGTTACCAGACATTATAGAAGAAGATAATGAGCTTGAGTGAGAGATTGAGAATATTCTCAATGAGAGATCTCACAGCTGCATCTAGTAATATCTTATGAAATGAGTTAGCTATAATTAACTGATCTGAACTCTGAGTTTCACATTATCTGAAACAGCAGCTCTTGACTGATGAGAACTGCTTCTGAAAGAGAGAGATTAATGTGACAGACTGTATCTGATCAATTATATAGACTATTCTGCTTCACTTCATAGATTCTTCTACTTCACTCTTGAATACATACACTTCAATTCTCAGTCATTCTCAATCATCAATTCTCAGCTGCTATGAATGTGTATAGATTCTTTCACTCTGAAGCCTCACTGTGTATGTTATTATATACATGTATAAATATTCACTCTGATCACTGATTTCTACACTTTTTCTTTCTTTTCTTCTCTAACATTTTTTTCTTTGTTATATAAGACCTATATATTATACCGATCTATTCGGCGTAGGCCTCTTACAGTACAGTTCTTAACAATCTTATTCAGCCTGCTGAGCTATCAGCTGTTAATCTCATTCTCAGTTCTGCATCTGTATCTGTGTCTGCATCTGCCTCTACTGTGTCTGCCAGTTCTAGATTATCAATTCAACTGTTAACTCATTTAACTGAAAGAATGTCTGAGAAGCTGTCAAAGAAGTTACAGACTCTTATCAAATTACTCTGTACTTAGAAGTCAGTCTTACAGAAGAGTTATTAGATTAATATAAAAATCAATATAAATTATAAAACTCTTCTTCTATAATTTTATGATGCTGTTGTTACAGTTCTCTGCAGTTACTGTGTTAGAAAAGAAGACTCTTTTATCATCTGTATCAGCACTCTGAATCAGTGTTATAAAGCTTGTATCAGTTATTATTATAATAACACTGAAGGTTACTGCTCTTATCATAGAAGTGAGTCACTTTTCAACATGAAATATGTCAATTTCAATACAATTAACTAATAGTTATACATAGTCAATATCAGTAAGAAGAATGATAAAGTAAAAGAAAAGAAGTAAAAGAATAAAAGGAGAAAGAAAGTCAAGAAGAAGAGCTCATTCAAGACACACTCTATAACTGAGAATACAGAGACTAGAGTCTTGAAAAAATAGATAGCAAGTGTTGAGTCAGTTCACAGTTATAATATTGAGATTTTAACTCTTCATATTGAAAATGAGACTCTGTGCAAGAAGAATGCAGCTCTGAAGATTAAATTCAAAACTATTATAAGTCTTCTTCAGATCACTTCAACTGTTCTTGAGAATAATATATGAGTTAACAGAGCAGAGCAGAGTGTTTTTTATTTTTTTCCTTTCTTAGTTAGCTGATGCTTTTGCACTAAAAAATAAATCTTTATTTGTTTTTACAGTTCTATCTCTTCTATTAATAAGCTGTAAAATCAATCTTGCAGAGCCTTCTGTTTTAAGCTTAGCTCTGCAACATCTTTACACACAGAGGCTTGTGTGTATTAAGATATTTTAAGTTAGAAGAAACATTCATTCACTTACACTATAAATATTAATTAGTTTTGTAAGTCTTGCAACTAACTGTGTCATACATACTCACTCTTTCTAGTGAGTGTATCACAGTGTACAGAAAATTACATTATATGAAAAATATATTGAATATCTTTATTTTTCATCTTCAAATAATTATTATTAATTATAATCATGTCTAAGTCTTCTAATTACACTGAGAAGCAGTTATAAAGAGTGATTGATATATATAAAAGCAATTTAAAATTAAAAATCACATCTCTGTTATAAGAATTCAAAGTCTTATATACTATCTTATATGAGAGAATCAATACAAAGAAATCAAGAACTATAAGAATTTCACTGAATCAAGTATTGAATAACAGTCAGAAAGAGATAATTAAGATATGAATTCATCAGTTAAATATTAATTTGTATCTGTTTATTATTAAGTATATCAAAGCTGCTGTGAACTACATATTAAGACAGTATTATACAGATTCAGAGACTGCATCTCTTACAGTAAGTAAGATATAAGTATATTAATTTATTAAACATCTATCAGATTATGAATAAGTCAAGCAAAAGCTTATGAATTTAAAATAAGTGTCTTATAAAAATATAAGCTTTATTATTAACTGATTTAATTGATATAAAGCTGTCTTTAATTAATATTATTTTTTTCACTGTGATATCTACAACTTTGATAAGATTAAATTTCAAGAAGAAGAAGAATATAAACAGTGAATTATAACTATCTTTAAAGATATAAATTCTGTCATACAGTTATCATACTTCTGTGAGTTAATAATAGTAATGAAGTATATTAGTATAGATAACACAGTATTGAATTTATTAATTATAATAAAATTAAAGATTTATCTAGAGAATTAATATACATACTTCAACTTATTTAACAACTATACTATTACTGTATCTGACTCTCACTTTATAAATAATAAGATTGAATTTGAATGAATTAAGCAGTTCAATAAGATGATAAAAAAGTATTAAATAAGCAGTCATTAACTGCTATTAGTGAATAATCATGATTCTCATCTTATAAAAGAATTTATTCAATACTGTAATCTTTATAAAATTATTCTGTTCAGATTCTTATCTTATATAAGTTATATTCTATAATCTCTTAATGATATATCTTTTCAGCAGTATAGATATTATTATATAAAGATAGTTAATGAGACTATCTGCTATGAATATAAGCAGTATAATAATAGATAATTCCTTGCTAATCTGACAAGTATTTAACTGTAAGTATTCAAATCTAATACTGTGAGAGCTGGCTTTATCAACTGTGAAATGTATTCAGTTAATTATAATATAATTCTTAATTAATTGAGATCTCTTATCATTGATAATGTCTCAGATCTCAATATATACAATGATGATGATAATGATATATATAATTACTTTATCTCATTATTTACAGATCAATTATTAACTATCTTTTCACAATTAATCTTCTCAGAGATAATTGTAAAATTATATTATTAAATCAATACAGCAGTCAAGATCTTAGAAGATGTGAAGAATACTCTTATATCTAATTTAATAAGACAGTTGAACAAGATATTCAAGAGTAGTATGATTCAGACAGAATTAAATACATATTATAAGAGTGAACTTACAGATTATTATCAAGTAAATAGATATCAGATTATCAAATTCTCTCACAGATAGATATAAGTAGGTAAAGTTCTTACTATTATGAATATCAATCACAAGATCATGATCTATAGAGTAGATGAGATAATAAAGACATTTAATAAGAATCTTTAATCAATTGAAATCAAATCTATAAAATCTACAGTTACTTAATTATAATAAGATAATTCTATAGAATCTCAATCTACAGTGAATTCTACATCTTCTAATGAGTATATAGATAATCTTTATATTATAGATAGATGTGGTGATGATTATTAATTAATTTTTGAAGATTACTATATTCAAAATATTTTCTGTACAGTGTGGTTTTCTGTATGCTGTGGCACACTCACTAGAGAGAGTGAGTGCGCTTGGCACGGTTAGATAACAACAACCACCACTAAGTAAGTACGGAGTACTAAGTACATACATGTAGTTACTGTACATGTACATACAATTCACATCTGAAACCCCGAAGCTCTCATAGAAAATGTATGACATGCTAATATCCTATCACCAGGCTGACTAACATTTTATTAGTTTTTTAACTGAAATTCCAACCGGGCTAGACGACGCCGAAAGAATCAGGTTTCAAGACATTGCGCCAACAACTAACTCCGTACCGAGACAGGGTGGCGGTCCTACAGGGACGCAATGACCGCGCTAGACCAGGTTCGCACGCCTTTAAACCGATTGGGACTCCTTATTTCTCCCCATCAGCGGCTTCTCGATATCATCGATGGCGGCGTGCTCGTAAAGCTCGACCAGTCGATGTCCAGTAGCGTGCCCACTTCACTTGCCCAGCTGTTGTTTGTGTGTTTGGCCTACGCCTCGTATTTTTCATCCATTGCCTGTTCCCGTCTAGGAGAAGAAAAAAAAAAAAAAAAAAAAAAAATGAGCCTCCTTTTTCCAATCGGGATCCTGTTGCGGCTCCTTCTCCTTTTTTTCATTCATTCTCTTTTTCCTCTGCGATTTTGGTCTCATAAGATGCTCAATTTCGAAGTCTGTGCTGTTACTAACATAGTGAGGTGAACTTTCGTCCGAAGCCGCATCATGTTTGGCCAAACCAACCATACGCGCACAGTTTTTCCTTCGTCTATAGGCGATTTCGTCCTGTCGGGGTCAGCCGGTTGGACTGCCACCTCTTTGTATGCTCGACGCTCGTTCAAATTCATTATTGCTTTTGTGTCTTTATTCCTCCTTGTAGCTTGTTTTGCACTGTTCTATAGCCCCCCTACTTTCCGGCGTCCACCTTCGCCATTCGCAAATTCCCAAGCGGATCGCACCCCAGCTCCACTAGCCACGGAGAATATCACTGACAACCATCACCACCTCGTCGTTACTACTACTACTACTACTACTACTACTACTGCCCCTTCCCTTTCTTTGGCCTCTCCCCCAACCCCTCTATCTTCTTCCCTTACACCTCAGCCTCCCAAACCGAACTTCAAAATTGTCGCTGTCATCTTCTATGGACGGCCGGATAGGGTGGAAATCCTCGATTGCTACCTCAAGCGCAATCTGGTGGCCAACGGAGGATGGCTAGATGAGGTCTACTGGGCGCCTAACACGGAAAATCAGGCTGATTTAGATTGGCTCGATAAGCTGGTGCCTACTTCTCCCTCGTACAAAATAATCCCTGTCAAGCCGCAGGAAAAGGGATATGCCAAAATATGGGATCACACCGTGTCAGATCCCGATACCCTCTACATCAAAATTGACGATGATATTATTTTCATCGACGACAATGCGATACCCAAATTAGTGTCGCTAAAGCTGGAACATGACCACTCGTTCCTCGTTTCAGCAAACGTTATCAACGGCGCCCCGTTGCCCTACCACCACTACCGCACCGGAGCCATCCGACCCTACCTCCCCGAATTGGCGCCGCCCAACAATAATAGTAGTCATAATATCACCAACAACACCGCGAACAGCAATGTTACCTCGCTGCGACAACCAACATGGCGCGCCTCACAGCTTCCATACTGGGAAGGCGCGGACGGTTTCGAGTTCCCGCTCGAAGTCGGCAATGCGCCGTACGCGAACCACCGATGGTTGCCTGTGCACAGCGAGAGCAGAACAGCTATATACCGCACGCCCATCCAGCACGCGCTCTGTAGCCCGTGGGCAGAGAACCGAGGCAAATGGTCCCTTGCCGCGCAGCAGCATTTCTCCTTCCTAGAGTCTCTGGAACGCAACGCGACCGACGTTTACGATTTCGCGCGCCGCGGTGTGTGGGATATGGGATTCGAGCGGATCAGTATCAATTTCATTGCCATCTGGGGCAGAGACGTCATAGATCATCTTCCGCTCGTTGACGATGAGGCGATGCTGACAAAGTCCATCCCGAAGAAGCTTCGAAGACGTCAGTGTTTCTATACCGTGTCATGTATAAATAGTGTGTTACTTGACTTATCTCCTATGCTAACATATTGTGTTTTGGTTCTAGCCGTGCTGGTCGCAACGGGCGCGATCGCTGCTCACTATGCATTTGCGTCGCAAGTTAATGACCTCAAGCAAACCGATATCCTCTCTCGATACCGTGCATATGCCAACGATATGATTTGTCTTGGCACCTTGCCCTAATCACACGACATGATGTTATGATTTATATATTTATATACTCGTCCCTTCGCTCACCACACCTGTGGTTGGGAGCGCCTCATCACAACATTATTATCATCACAATGTTACTTCTCCAAAATAGGTATCTTTTGTATGACTTCTCATATAAAAGATATCTGTTGATGAAATTTTTAGAATTTACTATATCTTCAACACAACGTCATATATGATAGATATATAAGTTATCTTTTGCGCCGGTGAATATATAAGTATATTCTAATACAAAGAATATAATTGTATAAATGTTTTTGAAATAAAATTATTCTGCTCAGATTAGAAATAGCTATATTTTAAGTAGTGAATCTACTAGTGATTTTCAAGTTAATTCTTTAATACTACTATATTCTCTACTCAAAAACATGCTTATATCTTACACATATCTGGTGTTGTGCTGAAGATATTAAAATTTTTTGTCTAGGTATCTTTTATATGGTGAGCTCATACAAAAGGTACATACATGTACGGTTCAGGACTGTGGTTGAACGTTTAACCTCATGTAATCTTGTAACTATAATAAGTATGTTGGACGTCTGTGGGCATATATGCTTGGTGCGGGGCCAACCTTCCAGCGTACACGCCTATTCAACATTGTCCGCACAAAAAAAAGATCTTGCATTTCAGTCTGCCATCCTTTATTTTACACGGTATTCTAAGCTTCAACAGTGCAGGTGCTGTGACAGGCTGTCGGATTGGGTGTCACGGATGAATATGTTGAAGACATATGAATCTTATTTGTATCAAGATCTGCTTGTTATATTATCCATACACTATCTAATATATCTATTTCATACAAAAGATAGAGCTATTTATAGTAAAATATATGTGCGAGCCAAGAGAGCTAGCATAAGTGAGTATTAGACAAGCGTTGTAGTAAGCTGATGATGATGAGATATATTGTAGTAATACAATGTTGGTGGCGTTCAGTAGTGTATAACCTCTTTTTCCTGACACAGGCAATGCAGGTGAGGTAGACAGTAGATCATTGATACCTTTTCAGATTCAAAGAATCATCATTCATTATTTAAAGACTGTCTATCTGGCATTTTGCACAGCTCTATCATACAAAGCAGAAGAAGATTATTTATTTGTAGATCTGTCTGTTAATTATTAGTAAGAAACAAAATCACTAACTTAGTTTAGTTATGATTTTTACAGTGGCAATCAAGGTTTGAAAAATTGACATTGGCAGTTACCCATGCCAAACGCGACTCACTAATGGTAGTTAGGGCCTGTTCAGTGCGTCTGTGTGTACTTGTTCTTTTTGTACAGATCTCCACTTTTTTTAAAAAGTACAGCCTCAATCTCATGACTGTTCAGTGAACAGAGCATCTGTACTAATAGTACAGCTGCTTTTTACAAAGTACAGATGAAAAAGACTAGATATTCAGTGAATTGAGCAGCTGTACTTGCATCTTTTATCAAGATCTTATGAATAAGTCATATTTAACTTCAATGATATGTGATGATGTAGAATAGCACTTTTAGAGACAATATAGTATAGAATAGTATTCATAGTAAAGACAGTTAACTAATATTAATTAGAAAGAAGCTTATAAAAACACATTCTTTTTAAACAGACTCTGAACTCTGTTCAAAAAGAATGCATTTTATAAGCTTCTTCTTTCTCTATTCTACAGAAGAATATTATCAGCAAAGATCATCAAGATGATACAACACCAGCTTGCTACTAAATAATTGATAAATATGCTATTTTTAATGAGATTCACTATTGCATTCAAAAAGTACAGACGCACCGAACAGGCCCTTAGTGAGTCGCGTTTCAGAAGCTCAGCCGCTGCCCAGGATATTGCCTTTTTAACAGTGAATCAATGATTAGTTCACTTTTACTATTTAAAGCTAATCTCAAATAGATGATAAACTAATCAAGATCTTATGATTTACTCTACGAAGTAGTCATAAATGAATTCTATCTATTCATCTCTATATTACTTTAAAGTCTAGAATAATTAATATTTTTATAATATATTTCTATTCTTCTTCTCTTTAGCTATAATCTAAGATGATTCACAAATCAAAGATGTGTGAGAATTATATAATTGAAGGTCAAAATTGAAATAATTTGAAGAATCTAGATGAGGCTTAGTGACAAAAGTGGTTTAGTATCATGCTGCTGTGCCTGCTGAGATAAAGTTTGTAGTGAGGCACACCAGCCACAGATGTGTGTATGCATAACTTACATCTGTGCTTTTATTTTTAATTTTTAGAAATAGACTAGAGCTGAAGTTCAAAGTTCAATGAATATTTAACAACTTGCAACAATCTAGACACATCTACTACCTTTCTATGAACTTTTTTTTTTTTTTTTTTTTGGGGCCATCGCGTAGTACTACACCTGCTTGTCTGCATGCATACCAGAGAAAGAGAAAGCATATACACAGTATATATATATACTGTACATAAATGTATAGACAAGAACGCCCAAGAAGATAGCCAGTATCCCCTTAATATCATCATCACAAAAAAAAAAAAAAAAAAAAAGAAAAAAAAAAAAAAAAAAAAAAAAAAAAAAAAAAGGACCCAAAGGTACGGCAACTAACATCAAACCAAAGTAGATTGTGTACATAAAAGCCTTGCCCCTCCTCTACCTTTCCCGTGTGGAAGCCGCCGTGAGAAAAACCAAAATCTCACGGGTAGCGAACAGAAGACGTTGCCAACATCGCCGGCTATACTGTGGCATTACTCCGCTCCTCAGCTAGGATGTATGGCATGCGGCAGCAAGTACGTTCGGTTTCGTGGCATTGTTGTTCTGCAGGAACCGCGCATTGTGGCCCATGACAGACTTGAGGGTATTGAAGACGGTGACGTGCATTGGGATAGGTTTTGGGACAATGTAGAAATTTACGCCCTCCGTGCAGGGCGGCGTGGTCAGGCTGCCTGTATAGGTGTAGAGCGGATGCTTGTTGACTAGGTAGGTGAGGTCGGCGAGGTTTAATCTTGGGATGGTGACTTCCTTTCCGGGAGTGGCTACTTGGTGGACATTATGAATCACCTTATCTAGGGAGCAAACGGAGTGCTTGGTCGAGACTTGTACCAACAAGGAGACAACTGCGAGTTCCTTATGGTTATCTGTGGCAATTTCAGTTAGACTAAACCTCATCTTCTTTTTTCTTTTTGTCTGCTTCTCTAATCTTGCAACTTTACTGTCTAGGTATTAAGGGTCTTAAAAAGGAGTGTTTGACATACGTTTGCCGACGTGGACCAAATGTATCTCAGCAACGAAGGGCTCGCCCTTCAGAGTGTGCTCACTGGGGTGGTGGAAATGAAACTGCTCTAACAAAAATTCGAGCCCATTGATTTTTGTTTTCCCTTGTAGTGCGACCTCCAAGGTTGTTCCCAAGTTCATCAAGGTCACATTCTGGACGGGAACATGCATTTTCAGGGAGCCCGCGGAAACTCGGTAAACGGAATCGTCGACATTAATGGGGGATTGTGTTCTTCCAATACCGCAGAGTATATAATCCGCTGATAGGGTATGCCAGTTCGTGGGGCCGTTATAGGGGCCATACCCAAAATTCGGCGGCTCAAACGGCTTGTGGTCGTCAGCAGCTCGACGATGAAGATAGGTACCGTGTGCGCATGACGACAGGACAGCCCTTGCGTTCAGCAGAACCAGGATTGCTAATGGTAGAATCAGCATTCCGAGCTGGAGAGGAGTCTCCGATCTTATGCGATTTTTGTTATCGGGTCAAAAGAAAGAAAGAAAGAAAGAAAGAAAGAAGAAAAAAAGACCGACAAAGAGAATATGGCGACGAGAGGAAATGGGGTGAAATCAAAGAAAGAGCGGGTTGATTTAGTTTCTCGAGAAGGGGAAAGAAATTAAAAAAAAAGAAAAAAGAAAAGGCGGATCTTGCGAGATATCGTGTCGTCGTACAGGTAGATAGATTCGATAGATGCCCTCTTAATAATTAGCCGTCACATCCAGCGTTTGCGTACCAGGTTCCTACAAAAGGAGTATGGCTTAAGCGGCCTGTGACAGGGAACTGTCAGGCTGGAGGAGTCTAATGATACTTCTATGAAGTCTATCCTCCTGAGAGAGCCCCCTGTGGCGTTGATATCGCGCACCCAGCACCCACGAGGTTGGTACTGTACATACATGTCATGTACATGTACATAGGGTATTATTGTAGGCAGGGCTCTTTATAGGAACGGTAAGGAGGAACCAGCCGGGTCGAGAGCATGCGAAGTGAATAGTCAACATCTCTCTGGCCATGGATTGCCTCATAGAGGCTCAACATCTCCCTGATTATCACTAGGCGTGAAGCACATAACTAGCGGGCTGCTAGGGCGCTAATTTCTGAGCAGATTGAAAGGTTTAAGGCACAGCCTCCGGATTCTTCTAATCAGGTAACGGTAGACGTCAGAAAATGGAGGGGTTCCAGTGGAAGAGAAGTGTAAGGCCGCTAGGGCTTAGGGCACCGTCACGTGGTCACCACGTGACCCGCACAGGCCGTGGCAACCTTATATCCCCTGGACCCCTGCTCTCCTTCCATAGCTAGTTCTCCTACTCAAGAATCAGTAATATCATGACCTGTTGTATAGCTGCAGTTCCACCCTGATATCCACCAGTGACACGGCTCTAACAAGAAGTTGAGGAAAGTTATTATATGATCTTGGTTAACTTTTTAAGTTAATCTAACTTACTATTGTGGCGGACATACTGCTTGTGAATGTAACCGTAGGCGGGGCAGGCAAGCCACCAACTATTTATTATTATTATTATAAGGCTCTCCGCTGTAGTACAAAGGTCTTTTTGGCCTAGTGGGAAGAGCCTGCGCCTAGCAGCTGTTAACCTTATTGTGACTAGACATGTCTTGTCTGGGACGGACGATAACAAGAACCACTTTATTTCCAATAATTGAAGATTTTCAGATTCATTTTTCAAATAAAAAAGTTAGTTTCAGATAAAGAATACAATTCATTCTGATCTCATTATTATATTGAAAATAATATTAAATGAGATTATGAAATTATTTCTAACTTAACTATATAATATCATAATATATTTATTTTTTGAAAAATTCAACAAAGATATCATTAGATTCATTACTTTTCTCAATATAGATGAAAATTTTGTCTGAAGTTTCAACTCACTCAAGATTCATATAATTTAAAAAAAAGAAAGAAAAAATAAAACTATGATAACAATCTTTTAATCTCTGTTCTGTTACTTCTGTATCATTCCAATAATAATAGGCAGACTTACAGTATTAGAAACAAGACTGTCTGTCTGGTGATGTCTTGCGGTTGTAACTATGATATGTAAAGAGCTTGCGTAACTTATTTAACACTAGCGAGTACACATTTAGCAAGCCGCTTGCCCCTTCCACCCCCATCTAAAATATACTCACAATTACGCTTTCATACGTAATAAATACACACACAAAGTTCTTGATCAAGCTTGATGTCGCGTTGTACGTTGTACATTATTAAAATATCTTAATGCACACGAGTGACGAGCCTCTGTGTACAAAGACATTGCAGAGCTAAGCTCAAAACAGAAGACTCTGCAAGATTGATTTTATAGCTTATTAATAAAAGAGATAGAACTGTAACTACAGTGAAAGTATATCTCTAAAGATGAAATAAGATTAACTTAAGAATGAGTTAAATAATAATATAAATAATTAATAAAAGACTGAAGAGAGATCTACAGAACTGAGAGATAAATTAATTATTAAAGATAATAACTACAGCTGTTTTCTTAATTAAGTTAAGAATAAAATTAATAAGAGATATTCTCTATAATATCTGATAATACAGTAAGCTCTTTGAATAATAGTTTTCTTTTTACAGACTACTGTTAATAAAGATATATCAGAACTATAAATCTTATAATAATAAAACTTAATCTTAGATAATATATCTATTTTAATAGACTATTTATAGATTGTAAGAAATTTCACTTCTTACAGATTCTTTATCTCTATTTTCTATCTCTTATATAATTAATAGAGTTAGCAGCTTTTGACTATATATAATTATATAGACTGAAGTTCATAAATACTATTTATAACTTAGCTTAAATACTATTATATATTTAACTTCTATATTTTATCTTTCTATTATGAATACTTC